GACTTAGTATGTGCAAACTTGAATACAAATTGCATTAAAAAGCTAGCTCAGATATTCTCACACACTATTTTCATTCCTTAAAGCTGGTGTCTGTAATAAGAGAAGTTTGTCAAAGGCTGGTCTGTTCCTGGTGCTGTTTGGACACTCCGTTCTTTACAAGCTGAGCCTCTGCACAGACCAAAAAAAAGGAAAAAAAACCATTGGATTGTTGCTTCTTTTGTTATTGGAGGGTTTATATTTTTAGGTTTGTTCATGTGATAAGCATCGCTAATCTTCACTTTTACAAAATAAAGTTTCTGGACTCAGACCATGGAACCTCAGTGGGAGAGAAATTACTTCCTTTCTCTTTTCTTGATCCTTTTGATTCCACTAGATACTCAAATGAGAGAGAGAGAGAGAGAGAGAGAGAGAGAGAGAGAGAGAGAGAGAGAGAGAGACCGAGACCTATGGAGAATTGTACATAGATTTACAGATAGATGCCCTGAATTGTGGCTGCTTCCATACGTAAAGCACCTACAAGCTGTACTCCCATAGGAAATTAATCCATCAGAGATTCACGGCCTAGAAAAAGTGGATGTTTGAAGAGCTAGTAAAATGGAGATGTGATGAGTTGTCTAGATTGCATCTCAACACTCAGCTTGCTTCTTTGAACAAAATACTCGTTATCTTCTCATGACCTTTCCTGGTAGACAAGTGCTCTTGTCTTTCTCTTCCGGTCACTAACTAATGGTGGCACTTTGAACAATCAGTTTAACCTTTCTTGGTTCCGGGCTATCAAGTTTGAATTAAGAGTTTGGAAAGAGAAACTCCTAGAAAGAAGACATGTAAGAATAATGGCGGAGCCACCTCTCACTGAAATATTTAAATGAATTTGGAAGAACCTCTAAGCTCTAAAAGTCTATAATAAGAAACATTCCAAATATTATTCTATCATAAGATATTTGATACGCTACTTGGAACGAAACAAACTTCCTATTAACATTTAGGAGAACTAAGAGGCTGATGATGTTTTCAAATTCACTGTTTATTAGATCAGAGTTGGGGAGAAGCTGTGTAACAACGCATTTCTTTCTCTACAGCATGCCGCAGCCGGTGCACTTGCTCTGAAGAGATGAGTGTACATTTAAATAATGGCTTCATATCCTGGTTTAACAGATGTGGACACGCTAGGGCCAGCTGGCTCGCCTCAGGGAGTTTCAGAGAGGAGCTCGTTTGTACTCTAGTTGACCTGATTGCACTGCTTTTCCTTCATGTCTGTACCTTTGCTTTCCTGCCCATTACCCATGGAACCCAGGGTGACGTTGTTCCAGGTTGCTGAGTTACCTTTTCCTGACCTGTAGCTTCCCTGACGGGGTTGTGGAGAAACAGAGGTGAGGCAGTGCACACAGAGTGCTTGCCGCATCTCCCCTGACACACAGTACACGCCCCATCCAGTTCAGTCATCCTAGAGGCTGACGTTAGCATGAAGAGGGGTGCAGCATCCTTAAAGAGGCTCCCTGTCTTGCTGCCTCATGGGCGGAGACCCAGCGAAGACAACATGGTGGTACAGATGGAACAGTCTGAGAGGGAGGGTGCCCAAGGGGAGCTGAGTTCTTTCAGCTGGCAGGCGGGTGAGAGGGGCCAGGCCGGCCTTCCAGTCTGGGAAGTTGTGCTGAGTTCCATGAGGCGGGCAGGTAGGGACCTCACTGCCCGCAGGCCCTTGTGACAGGGCGGTGGAGCTGCTTAGCGTCTGTCTCTACCTGACTGCTGAAGATGCCACCATCTCAGCCACGGTGCTGTGATTGTTTTCTTTGGTTCTTTTAACAGAAATAGATGGGATGTTCTTGCATGCTCTGAGATGATCATTATAGTGAAGATAAAATATTTGAGGCCCTTTTCCATAGTGCTCCTTGGCCACACCCTCACTTGTCACAGGCACTCTCCTGAGGCACGCTTGCTCGCCCACAGCTCAGTGAAGGCCGTGTGGCTGGCTACTGCGTGAGGCATCAAAAGGGCTGAAAATTGGGAGCTAACTTCCTACGCTCCTTGGGCACCTAAGACTTCTTATACCTTTCCATTTGCAAAATGGAAGAAATACTTTCCGTGCTTTACAAAGGCAGAGGGAATTATACCTGAGCGAGCACTAGAAAAATCTTTAAGCAGAAAAACAAATGAAAGGTGCCATATTAAAGAGAAGTCGAAGGACATCCTGAAATGGCATTCTGAGAGAAAAACCTCGAGGTTCCCTTGGCTCCGCCTCCTCTGGGCACTATCTGTACATGTCCTTCACAGAATTTACATCATAGCATCTCCTTTCCTTCTTCACGGGCCATTTTATGCTGGGGGCAAGTGTTTGAAACCTCTGAACGCATTGTTTTTGACATTGAGAGTAATAAAAAATAATGGCTGAAATTTCACCCCTCGCCTTTAATGAGCTTACAGTGTAACCAGTGAGATAAGATACAAATACAATGAATTTCAGGTCAATGTAAGCCACACTGAGGCCAAAGGAGAGGCCACCCCAACATACTGCTGAAGTTAGAGGAGAGAGCTTACAGCTGGCCGGTGGGAGCAGACACAGGGAAGAGCGGGTTCCTGGAGGTCAAGAGCTGCTTAAACGCGTGGGCATATTAGGGGGAAAGGGCTAGACTGCTTGGCTGGGGCATCAAGCAAAAGACTACATAAAGCAAAGTGGTGATCCTATCCCAAAACAATGTCTGACACGCTAATATGGAAAAAAAACCCATGAATGTACAAATAGTTATTATGCACCTCTTAGAACACATGGAACAAATACGCATCTTATTTGGGATCTTAGAAGTGGCAGCAGAGAAAATTAGAACTCAAGCGTCCTGGCCACTCTCCTGGCTTCCTCATTCATGAAATGTTTCCACCTGTAAGAGTGAGACTGGCGCAGGACGAGTGGCCAGAGTTTGCTGTTTAAAAATAAATTTTAACTTTCTATAGAATAGGCCATAGCCTGTTTGATAAGCAATGTTTATATTCAGAATAGGGAATGATGTTACATGTTATATTCAGAATGGTATACATCTAAATAAAAATGACTGATGGTCACTTGTTAAAATTACATGGACAAATTATACTCTTATAGGTTCTCAGATTTCACGTCTAAGTCTTTCGGATTACAAAGATAAGGAGTGCACAGCTCTTCATTCAAGGTATAAATAAAACATAGAAAGAAGAGATAAAATATCAGTGATTTGCTTCAGAATTCACTGTGCAGGAAAGAAAAACTTTATAGCCAGCCTGGCAAATAAATGTCATTTAATTAAAAATAAGCTAGGAAATGCAAGTGCCCAGAGTGGATGAATGACCTGGAAAAAACAAAGTACTATGTTCCCGTGGCCTATAAGATGGCCATTCAAAGGTTTAGTGGCCTTAAAATACTCTCTACCGTGTATCATTAGGGTTCTTTCCAATGATACTGCTCATGTAAAGTTTGTTTTAACTTGCACATGCTGGACATAGTATGGTGGGAAACGCTGGGTCAAAATAAGTAGCTGTTCCCTTTATGTCTCATAGGAATGAGGGGGCGGGTGTTTTCTGTGGACAGAAGATTACTCGAGGAAGGGGAAGATTTATAAGTCAGTTGCAGTGTGTTTGAGCCAATCTGCAATGCCCATGCTAAAAAGGAAATCGTTATTTCAAAAATGTCTCTTTCGAAGCGTAAACCTCTTTACTTAGCATTATTGCTTTTAGCATTTTTTAACTTCTTTCCAGTAGAGGACATACATTGTGTCAAGTGCCACTGGCTAATTACAGAGCCACGTAATCAATCATTCCTTTGTTTTCATTTTCAGAAAATGAATCCCTGTAAAAGTATCTCTCAAAAGATAGCTGTCAAAAGATAACAAGAACACACACTTAAATGGGGGAAGCTCTGAGGCTAGTGGTTCTAAATACATGGTGTATATTTTCCTTTCATGGTCTTTGTACTTTAAGCTGCACATGGACTACAGGGTCACTTTTGCATTTTTGAGCCTTAGCGCCCAGATTGAGAGAGGAAACACTCTCCAGAGACCCACCGCTAAGTTCTGGGTCTTCAGTCATTAGGTGTCTCTGAAGAGCTATGGTGTTAAATATATGGCTCATCTACCAAACAAAGCTGAATCAATGGCCGCATCAGGTCACCTAACTGAACAGCAGCAGGGTGAGGCCACCAAATGGCCACTTTAGAGCCAATCCCTAAACATTTATTCTGTGGTGACTTTTTGACAGCATGTATTTTTGCCTCAATTGTTATAATTGTCAGTGTGTACCTGAACATGATTTAGCCAAAATACTCAGAGGATTGAATGTCTCTACCCTTACCCGCTTCGACCCCAGTCAATCTTTCTCCAAATTAAAAAAAAAAAAAAAAAGGAAAAAAGAAAAGAAATGCTTTGAGCCTGATTACATTCTTGTTTTCTTACTAACCCAGGTACTTAACACATCATTTGCACCTAGAAACTTACTAGATAAACTATATGAAGAAGCATTGCAAAAATACAATTGAATCCTTTCCCTTAAATAGTCTCGAAGTGCTTTAAAAAGTCCCAATTCTTGATAACACTAACTTTTCCTCAGATTTCAAGGGTAAAAATTGAGAAAAACCTTCCTCTGAAAGAAAATGCCCAAATGCACCCATCCCAGATCACCCCCCACCCTGGGAAGCCTGCCGCTCTCAGTTTGGTTTCATCTCTGTGGTTTTGTGCTTACGCAGCAGTAAAGCAGGGGGTGTAATTTTGGGTACCGGTCTAGAAATGCCCCATGCCTATAGGGAATGACCCTCCAAGAATTAACTGGAGGGAAAGGGTTCTGGATTCGTTGCTCTCGGAGTTCCCAACTGTGGAATGGCATTGTTTGAAAACAAACAAAACAAACAAGACCACCTTCCCAGGACTGAAATACTGTGTATGTGTTGTTGTTTGCAGTGCATGCCAAGACATTCATGAGCACCACAGCCAAGCTGGCAAGCTAATTAAATATATATGTGTATGTGTTTAAAACAGCCTAATAAGGAGCATTGGAAATCTTCAAGATGAGCGAATATCTTATAACTTCTTCCGCAGGTGCGAGGATAGCTACAAGCCATGGACTTTCTGTCCTGCTTCTTGTTTGTGGCTTTGTGAAGGGTGCTTTGCTTTAATCTAAAGTGCTGACTTTTTTCCAATATCACTTTCTCTTCTTAAAGCAAAGAGCAAATCGCCTGTAAAATCTACGGAGCGGACAGCAAACTTGACCCTAAACTCCAAGCACCACTCTGCACCCACTGTACTCTAGTTACCTACCCAACGAGCGCCTGCTTCCGGAAGCTTAAACGAAGAGGCTGTCACACGCTTTGTTCATAACATTTTCTTGGGCAAATCACTGATCTTTCCTTTCAAGAAAATTAGTGTGAAGTGCTAGGACATTTTCTAACAGCAAGACCTATTGTTTTCCTTTCCTTTCGGCTACTGAAAGCACCATCTCACTGACTGCTCAGGGGTTGGCCTGACCGTCATGGGGATAGTAAATATTTACTACGGATCCCGGAAACCCGTGGATTTCCTACTAAAAGACCCGTTATTGGCAGGAAGCAAACAGAGCTCACAGGACTACAGAACAGAAACTGTCATCCAAGGAAACCCCCATTTGGGGGCAAGAACAAGATCATCAACACTGCGAGGCAACGAGGAGAACATTATTTTAAATACGAAATAAAAGAAAGAATTTTTTTAATTTTTTTTTTTTTGGCTTGGATTTTTCTCCTTTTTCTTGATTCTAGCTCTTGTTCAATGGTGGCAAATGCTGATTATGGCCAATCCCTGTCAATCCTGGGAGGTTTATATAAATACATTTTGAATGTTCTATATTTCAATGTATTTTAATTCATTTTGCAATTCCTGTATATGCAAACTTGACAAATTCTGTAAATGCTTATAGTATGTGTGATATAACTTCAAAGTAGATAGACTATGACCCTCATGCAAGCTGGTTTTTATCATTATATATAAATATATACATATAAATATCTATTTGTTGGGCCACCGACCTTTTTTTGATAAAACATTGGTTTCTCACATATGATTCACATATTGTGTGAATTTTGTAATGCATTGTTTCACTTCCACAGGTATGACAGCTGCAGACGGTCTCTGTTGGCCTCTGCTTCCTTCTGGAAAATGCATATTCAAAATTGTATCCGTCTTTGATAAATGAATTAATTTTCTTGTGTGTATGCTGTGTTGGAATTTGCTATGTTCCTTTATATATGGTGTTTATTGAGGTTTGGGGGTCTCTTGACTCTGCAGAACGTACAGTCTCTGGTTTTGACAGTTATCCCTATATTACAATCATTCTTTTGTCACAAAGCAATGTCGCTCCTAGAAACTTGCCTTGGAGGTGAATGTGGGGAAGATGAAGTGGTCACCAGGATTCCCTAAATCTGTTGAAGAACGCTTCTTGCTGTGGCTAGAAGTGTGCTTCCTCTGACCTTTCTGAATTTCTGTAGCTTTGTCATCCTGTTATTTGCTCCTAATTATATTTTAATATCTCCTAATTAAAAATTCAAATTAGGTTGTTGGCTAAATATAGTATGCAAAAGATGACTGCAAATCTCTGATTGAAGAGGATAATGTGTTCAGTTTCCACTAGTTAAGTGAATTATAATTTTAAATATTTCATTCTTATTTTTGGCTGTATGATAATTCAGGCTATTTTATGTAGAACCTGTTTTCCACTCTGGCAAAGAATGCCAGGCAGAACTAGTCATGTGTTCCATATACTCTATGGAATAGATACGGGTTGAGATAAAAATGACCTAAGTTTCCCTTCCAGAGAGATTCTTCCATTTTCTTTCATAACAAAACCAGAAGATTGTCTCTGTGGGACCATCGGCTCCCAGCCTAAGGTCCTAAACCGAAGCTTGAAGGCAATGAATACCTCTGATTTTCAAAGGTAAATGCGTTGGTTTTCTGCAGTTCAATTATAAGCAACGTGCATATTTTCATAATATTCTTGACGTTAGCTTGAGAATTAATGTTTCATGCTAAACCTTTTATTGACATTTTTCTTGTTCATTTGGTTTATGATTTCAATCTAATGAGAACAATAAATAAAGGATTTGATTGCACTATTTTATTAACCTATAAATTTTCTTTCCGAGTGTAATACTTAAATTGCATAAAATAATGGTAAGATAAATAGTATTGGTTCTATCTAAGGGACTTTAAAGATCGCATACATTCAAGCATAGATTAGTATACCAATTCAAATTCAGTCAAGCTGGGAAAATCCACCATGTCATTTACTTTTACCCAAAGCTCAGGTCGTGAGGTCGCTCAGTCCTAAAGCAAGACAGATGTGTCTCTGTATCAGTGAGGTTTACCATGCTCGCTTATCATAAAGGACATATGCTAGCTGGGGGAGAGCTCTCACTAAATGCACTGTGTCAGTGTCCAAAACAATGCAGACGCCTTTGTCAGTGCTCTACCAAGAGTCTGGTGCACGGGCCTCCTTGAGAGAACACATGGCACACTCTCTCCAGACTCAAAAGTCAACCCGGAACCTTAACCACTGGAACAGAAGCTATAGCAAATATAAGTCTTTCTCACCTCCTATTGCATCCCACTGGGACTATTTCTTGGTATGTAACCAGGACCATAGAAACAAATACTGAAAAATAAGTTCTCTTACTTTCTCAACTTGATTTCCAAGGTTATGTCATTTTTTTTTTCTAAAAGAGGGAGTTGTAAAAAAGTTGTCATTGCTTATCTGAATTCAAGTCAAATTCTTTAGTTCTTCCTTAAAGCCTTATAAGTTGCTTACAAATTAAACAATGCCAATGAAAACCCTTGAGGATAAAATAAAATAACCAAAATCATCTAAAGGAGCCCTTAAAATGAGTTAGTAAGTAAGCTCAGTGGGGTTCATGAACCCACTGAAACTATATGCATATTTCTGTATTTGTGGATTTGTTTTCTGGAGATGGTCGTTCACATTCATTGTTCCTGAAGGTGATTTGATTATGATCTGCTTGCCTAAAAGAAGATGCTTAGATGCTTTTGAACACCTAAAAGGACCTGATTATTATAACTTTGAACTAGTTTACCTTAAAATTCTTGGAAACAAGACTTGTTTAGGGAAATAGTGTGTGGATATGAATTTGGCAAAGAAAGCATATATTTTTCAGTCCAGAAAAAATTCCCTTGAAATTTCTTACAGTATGGACTAACAGAGATGGGATGATGTCTGTTGAATTTTTAAAATCAATACTAAGAGCTTAAAATATAATTTTACAAAATAAGCACAGATACCATTCAAATCAGTGATCCTGGTATAGAACCCCTATAAGAGACAAAATATTAACTATAACTTAGTGGTAGTTTCAATAAGACAAAATAATTGCAAAGGGAAATGTAATCTATCTTAGATAATACATAAACTCCAGTGAAGCACAAAATATGTGTGCACATAATTTCAACTACAAAGCCAAAATAATTTTAATTTTAGAACTCATTAATTAAGGGAGCAATCTGTCATTCAGGAAGTGCTACAGACTTCACAGCTTCGGCGATGGAATAGATAAGGTCCTTTCTTGTATCTAGGGAGGGACAGAGAGTAAATACACAGAAACAAGAAAATGTATGATCATGACAAATTCTAAGAAGAAGACCCAGTAGGATGATTTAAAGGAGTGTGACTCTAAGCGGTCAGGGGAGGATACTCTGAGGAGGTGACAGCTAAGCAAAACTTGAATGACAAGAAGCCAGCCCATCAGGAGAGGATCGGGGAGAAGAGGCTTCTAGAGCGAGGCAACAGCTTGTGCAAAACTTGTAATGTGAAGTGAAGTCCGTCTAGGCTTGTTCATGGACTCGAAAGGGGACAAGTGTATAGTAAGTGAGGGGGGAGGGGCATGAGACACGATCAGGCAGCTGATGTCTTACTGTGTATAGTTTAGCCTGTACACAAGACTCCTTTAGGATCAATGTTGAATCTTTCACGTAGTCAAGTTATAATTTTGTCTAGAAGCTGCTGGGATGTGTTAGGAATGATGGAATTTAACATTTTAATGCCAATTTACAATTGATCATTTTTAGAAGGAAAAAAGAAATATTGAAAGATAATGGGGACTACTTTTATAGTAGCACAGTATTCATTACAATAATTACAAAGGTAATTTGAAACAAAAACAAGAGTATATAAATTGAAAGTGCAGCCAAATGAAAGAAAAGAGATTCACTCCTAGACCCTTGTTGCTAAAACATTGTAACTAAGAAGGTAGAAGCAGGAGGTGAAAAAAAACTCTACATACATACACAGACACACACACTCACACACACACACA